GGGGGGGGGGGGGGGGGGAGACAAACAGCTTATACAATAGTTTGTGGCCCTCCAAAGGACCACAGGACGTAAACAGATGTACAGTCTACCTGTGATGCTAAAATTTTATGGGGGGACTATTAGGGAAAAATGTTTCAAAGGCTCCTGGGTGGGGCAGGTGTGCAGATCATGGAAAAGAGGTTGAGAAACACAACTGTACCTCCATTCCTCAGTTTGGAGCATGTGGATGAGTTATGATGACCATGTACTACCAGCAACTTTTCAGCTAGGTCAAAACATTTACCAGCAATAGGATACTGGCCCACATCAGAAGTAAGCTCTGTTTTAACTGCTTCCTGGCAATACAATGCTGGTGGACTTAACGTCCAGTGCTGAAGGCAAGCTTGCCAGGGGGAAACCCCTCCAAGCCACATGGGGTCTGAGGCAGAGATGCCGGAGACCCTCACCTCTGAAGAGAGAAGGGGAAGTCTGAGGACCTTCAAGGGGACAGGAGGCTGGAGAGTACGAGAGCCCTGTGACAGGTGTGGAGGGTAAAACAGCCACCATGACATGAAAGATCCATGAGAACAAGGAGCTGCACGCACTCACAGGGCCTCCCCCAGTTCTCACGAAGATAAGTGAACGGTATTTAGGTCACCCTATCTTTTTGCCCAGCTTCTGTGAAGGAATATGTACACGCATATAGGGGGAAAGGCGCTAAGCCACTATCCATATAACTTTTGCACTTAAAAAAAAAAAAAAAAGACTCACTCATAAGTAGAAGATAAAAACGACAGACAGACAGACAGACAAACACATAGCAACAGAGATTGGATTGATGGTCACCAGAGGGGAAGGGGGAGGGAGGAGGGTGAAAGGGGTGACGAAGGCCACGTGTGGTGATGAATTGTGATTAGTCTTCGGGTGGTGAACACGATGTAATCTACACAGAATTCGAAATATATTATGATGTACATCTGAAAGTTATAATGTTATAATCCAATGTTACTGCTTTAAAAACAAAATTAAAATTAAAAAAAGAAAAAGAAAGGAAATCTACTCCAGGCCCATACTTATCCTACTTATTTCACTATTACCTCCTTACTGTGCCTCCACACAATTCTGTACAAACCTCGTCTCCTCACTCCCCAAATTCTAAAGTTATCTTACTTCTTTTCATTAATTCAACACATTCCTTTGAGGTACCCAGTATTTATTAGACACTGAGAGAAGTGCTGGAAATAGTAGTGAACAAGGCAACCACTACACTACCTAGCCCTCAATGAACTTAGTCTGCTGGAACGATCGATCTAATTGCACAGATTTTATGTTATTTTAAACAAATATACAACTTTTCAGGGTGTTAAATGCTCAGGCGAATGACTTAAACCCTTTTTCAATCAACTTTTACTCCTTATTTACCCTAGTGATTTTCAAACCATGGGCCTAAGGTCAGGACTATAATTTCTGAAAACACAAGCTAATAAGAACAACAGAATGTAACCCACATAGTAACATTAAGTACCGTTTTGTGGAACTTTTCTGCCAGTTATGTGTGTATGTCTGTGTGCTGCATCACAACACAAAGTCTAACTTGCTATTGCCAAGAAAGTGTCTTTTCACACCCATTCCCAGAGAATAATCTGCGACAGATGGAATTTAACTCGGTACCCACGGTCGTAATTCAATTATACCCTCAGAGCATAATTCAATTACACTTACTAGACTGTGTCAAGGAAACACAAATTACGGATACTCGGATCACTTTGGCCAAGAAACACAGTGAGAGGCAGCTCCAGGAACCTTTTCTTATTCACCTTATCTTGACTAATTTTCAACAGCAGCTTTTCAGGGTGGAGACAAACCCCATTCTCTGTTTTATTTCACGGTGCACTCAATCCCCGTCTTTTCTTTCCTTGTCCGTGTGTAAACACCCAATGCCCAGGCCCACATTCCAAACTCCCGGGAAAACCTGGCTCACAGCTGCGGAACGTTGATATCTAATACCCGAAATTAAAGCAGCTTTAAAATACCGAGCTTTGCCCCAGCACCCACACCACCACCCTCCTGTGCCCCCTAACTTCAGATGGTCAGCCAATCCCTCTTATCCCTAACCAGTTCTCAGCGGCGCTCGGGAGAGACTGCGGTGGTGGGAAGGTTTCGGAGGCCGTTTTATTAACACGAACGCCCCTCACAGGCGGCCCCGGGCAGAGCGCGCGCCCGCCCGCCAGCCCGGCAGAAGGGCGCAGCGCCGCGCGTTTGGGGAGGCGGAAAGGGACGGGTCCTGGCGGAACTCACGTCGCCTAATTTAATTATCTGCAGTCTCTGGGCTTACCTTGAGATGCTTATTCCTAAGAGAATAGAAACGGAAACCATCAAGGGTAAACTAGCAGACAGACAAAGGGACAGGCGCACGCAGCGCCCTCGGGAGGGGAAGGCGCGGGCTCCACGCCCCACAGCGGCTCCGGCTCCGGTTCCTGGCGCCTCCCCGTTTCCATCCCCGGGGCCCGAGAGGACAGAGCTCGGGAAGCCCTTCAGTCCCCTAGGGTGATTTTCCACCTGGGATCAGATTCCGAGTGCGGCCTGGGGATGGTACCCACCAACTGTCCCCAGGGGCGGCCTCCCGAACCTCATGCAAGCCCCGAGGATCGGCCCGAGCCCGCCGGGGATGGGAACCGGGCAGGCCCGAGTGTGGCTCCTCGGAGGCCGGGCGTCCGCGGCGGGGGCCACTCAGTGTCACTAGAGGTCCCTCCCCGCCCCAGGCCGCGCCGAACCCGAAGCGAGCCGCGGGGACGCGACTCCCAGGACACCTACCTTCCAGGTGCCCAGGCCCACGATGGGCATCTTGGCACCGGTGTTGAGCACGACATGGGTGGCCATGACAGCTGAACTGCGCAGACCCCAGCCCAAGAACCACGCCGTGGAAATGGCGCCGCGGACCTTTAAATAGGCGGTGCGCCCCCAGGAAAGGGCGGGCATGATAGGCGCGCAGCTGCTCAAAGGCAGCTTCTGATTGGTCGGCTCGCGTCGAGGCTGCCGCGTCCGCAGCCTGCCCGGGGGCTCGGCGAGGACGCTTCTGCCACCAGGTCCTAGCGGGACCGGGGTTTTTCCGCTCTGATAGCGGTCTCGCCCCACTCGGCAGAAGAGAGCCGGCCAACCGCTGTGGGGCGTAGAAAGGGAATGCTTCAGCAGAAGTCACAGACATCCTATAAATAGCCTGGGAAGGAGTTTTGGTTTTATTTTTTTAAAGAACCCAGAAGGGTACGTTTGTCTGTTGTCCAAGGGCAGTATCATGCTCTTTGGGAATTTGACAAATGTCTGGTCCTAAATTTGTATGAATCATACTGACTACAGGTATAGATTAGTGTACGTTGCTCTTAGAAAGGTGCGTGTCAGAGAAATGGCTTGCAATCGTGTTGCAGAACACCTTCTTGAGATTTGGGTTTGCCCAGCCTCTGTGTGGCTTCCTAGGGCTATCTTCGTGCGCCGTCCTGGGTACGAGCTGTGTCTGTATACACTGGGTGTGGTTCAGCAAATCTTCCTTCAGAAGCCAGCGTCTCTTCAGGTTGGGAAGCTTTGATGAGCTTGATCCAAAACACACGGAAAAGTTCAGTCTTTCAAAAGTAAGATTCCATCAAAGCGGCAAGTTTCAATGTGGCACCTTAGCAAAACTCTCTAGAAGAAGAGTGAATACGCAGAAACCCACAAAAGAAAAGTTAGCTTTAATATTGTAGCTTCAAGTAGTTCGAGGTAGCAGGTGCTAAAAAATAAACTGATCAGCCCTAATTGGCAGGGAAGAAGACATTATTTTCCGAGATAACCAAAGGAAAGTTGCTGGACGAGCTTTGAAGACAATTTTGCTTTCTTTCTGACGACCTCTCTCCATGATGCTCTATCTTACTCCAAACCTACTCTTTCTGCTCCATCACTCTCCAATCTTTCCCCTAATTATGCGAGATTGAGAACTAAACCTACTGAGTAATGACTCAGGAACCAGCCATTCTGGTGATTTTCCATTTAGTAATTTCTAAAAAGTGCCCACTAGGAAAAATTTATACACAACAGAGGAGCCCAGATATTTTTCCATTTGACTTTTATAAAAACTGTTGTTGGTAGGCAAATTCTGATGCTATTTGTCCCCAAATAATAGAATTTTAATTTGACCCTAAAGCTGGGAACTTGCTTTGGAGTAAAACAGCAGGAACCCAGCACTCTCCATTCCTAAGATCTCTGTTGGCATAGAGGCTTCTGTCCATAGCACTAGTTTCTTCAGAAAATGTTGCGCCCTGAGTGACCAGGTTGGTATACACCTGTGATCATTGAGTATAGAATCTCCCCACAACTTCCCGCTCCATGAAGGTGTAACTGTCTAAAATGGAGTATTCTGACCAGGTTACGCAAATGTGAGAAGTCAGACCCATGGAATTTCTACAGCAACAATAGTACTATAGTTGAAACACACTGTTATGATAGTCTCCTGACTGCCCCATTGCCTCTGTAATGCCTGTGACGCGCCATTGTGCACAGATCAGAATTATGCTTAAAAAAACTTTCAGTGGAATCCTTCTGAGAAACGTTCTAGCACTTCATATTGACAGCAATAAGAATCTTAAAGTGCTCTGAACCAGTAACCCCATCAAGAGAACTAGTAATCTCATCTGATTACATTTAGAAGGAACACACACACACACACACACACACACACTGTAAGTAAAGGGCTGGGATTAGGGTGAGGAAAGTGAGGTATCTTGGTGCAAAATTGCATCCCTGAACGTGAACACCTTAAATTTTACACTCCACGTGCTTCACTTGCCTCACCCGATGTCTACTGAGCTGACCATGTGCCTAGCACTATTCTACAAGTATTATGTATTAAATCATTTAATCTTCATAACCACTCTTTGCAATGGGTACTATTATTCATCCGTTTTACATATGAGGAAACTGAGGCACAGAGAAGAGAGGTAAACTGCTAAGGTCTTATAGCAAGTAAATAGCATGGTCAAGATTTAAACCCAAGGAGTTTAACTATAGCACCCAAATTCTTAACCACTATGCTGGTGGCCTTCAAATTGTTGTACGGTGACTCACAGTAAGAAAGGCGTCACAGGTGACACAGTGCACATATATGTACATATAACACAAACAAAAGATGTGCAAAACAATTCTTGTCCTTATTATGTATGGCATACTCTGATTTTTCATGCTCTGGGTTTGTTTGTTTTTTGGTACCAATTTTGATCATAATTCACTCATGAATCCATGGTAAATGATTTTATGATCTGCTGATGGGTCATGGCCTGCAGTTTGAAAAACTGTCTTCCATCCACTCTGTGGCCCTGCCACTGCTCATGTCAAGTGACAGGAACACTATGACAACCATACAAGAGACATGACGACAGCTCCCAGAGAAATCACAGGGTGAGCATTCCTATTGTGCCAGCAAAGGCGTCTTTCTCTCCACCTCTTCCCACTCCATCCGTCTCTACCCTTGGCCAAACAGTCATAATTTGGGAGTGAGAACACCTGAGATTGGTCCTTCGGAAGCAGGGAGAGGCAGCAAGGCAAAAGAGAAAGCGTGTGGAAGCCATAGGAAGAGGACAGTGGCCTCAGCCCCTGCTGTGGAGTGGAACTGACCTTAAAATCTCAGGGCACTGGTCTACCAGGAAGCTGGCTTCAGTGTGTTAAAATGTACTCATTCATTGGCAATATGAGGCTTAGATGACAAATATGGAGAGAACTGTCAGTATTAACCTTCCTCATAGATACTGGAGCATAACAAAAAATAGAGAAAAGCTCCTTGTCCCTTTTAGTACAGTTGTTCAATAAACTCTTGTGAATAATAATATCCATTATTTTCTGGGCCCCTTCCACGTGTCAGGCACTTTAAATACATTGTCTGACTCGATCCTTACAACCTCCTGGCAAAGACAACTGACTCTATTCCTTTCCTATTTTTCAGATTGAAGAAACCGAGGTTTGGCAATATTAATTTGCCCAAGACCAAGAAGTTAGTAAGTGGCTTGCCTTTAAAATTTTGATATTTTCTTCATCATGGATTTTTTTGCATTAATTTAGATTTTTAAAATATTACATTAAAATGCAATTTATCTTGATTACTGATATTTTTGGTGCCTCCCCCCCCACAATGAAATCCTACATTGAGGCAAATGCCTTGCTCACCTCCTATAGCCTAAAAGCATCAAAATAAAAAAACAAATCAACCCACAGGGATGGAGTTATTCACACAGAGCAATCATCATCCACACTGCAATCATCTGTGACTGCCACGCTCTTAACAATGCATGCACGAGAATGTGTGTGCTCTGTATAATTCCCAGCCCCTGCAGCAGTAACTCCACCCCTTTCTCTTCTAGTCAAGAAAGCCTAAGAGAAAGCAGGTGAGTGAGGGGGCATTCTAGGCATTCTAACAGAGATGACTTTGAGGCCACTTTAACTTGTAAGAAATGCTTAAGGCATTTATGGATTCTTTATAACTAGAAACCAATAACTGTGACACCCCTCATAGCTGTTGAGGCACACTGAGGTATGGTGGCTGTGTAGCTGAGAACCTCAGATGCCTGTGGCTTCTTTCTGAGTGAGGGGCCTTAGCATGTCTGGTGGCAAGAGGGGAGGCTTCCCCATACATCACTGTGGGGGAACGGGCCTGATAATACAAATAAATAAGTCTCCTGCACTCTGATTTAAGAATAGGTTACTTATTGGTGGGGTTGAGGGGGTCTCCTTATTTATCTGGGGTCCTGTTTTTGGTGGCAGCAGGATGGGTGGAGGTCAGTGACCCTATAGAATTGCTAACACAGGTTCTGGTATTTTAAAGCAAGTCACGGAGCATCTTGTCATTCCTCATTAGCTGGACTGGAATCAGATGATTGATATTTTCCTGGCTGCCAGCTCCTGCTTCATCCTCAATGGCCAGACTCATGCCCTTACTGAGAAAATCTACTAGAAGGAAAGATCTCCATGCACAGGCAAAGCACATGTGGTATTAGCAAGTTTGGCACCTTTATGGAAGAGGTATAGTCATTCAACAAGTGCATTCATTATTCATTAAATATTTACTGCATATTTAATACCAACAGGTACTGTTTTGGTCCTGGGATTACAGAGAAAAACAGAATAAAGTCTCTGACTATATGAAACTTCCTTTCTAGAGGGAGAGATAGAAAAAATATCTAAGAACAAGCCAGTGAAATATCTGGCCTGGTAATGATAAGCAGTATGATGAAAACAAAGGAGATGATAAGGATAGAGACAAGAGCAGGGTTAGCTGCCCTCGCTGACAAGGAGGATGGAGAGGGAGCATGAGCAATGTGCATATCCAGAGAGAGACATGCCAGGGGGCAAGAGGAGTCCTGCATGGAACTTGAGGGTGGAATGAGTTGGATTTCTGTGTGTACGGGGTGGGGGAGTGGGAGAGTGATGGGAGAAGCAAGGAAGTGTGTGTGGGTCCAGCAGAGAGAGTGAGTTGGAGGTTCCTAGGAAATGAAGTTGGAGCTAAAATGGGAGAGGCAGGCACTGGTCAGATTATGCAGAACCTTGAAGGGCCATCATAAAATGACTGGGTTTTATTTTGAATGTGACAGGAAACCATTGGAAGGTTTTTAACAGGGGCACATCCTTTCCTATCACTTATACCTCTGATACCATAGGGTCTTCTGGCTTACATGGCCCACGAGGCAGGGCTGCTTGCATTACAACCTGATCTGCCTGCCAAGCCCTTCCTTGCATTAAGTCTCACTCAAAGCTGGCTGCCTTTTGTGACACCCAGTACACAGTTTGGAGCATTATTCCCAGATGTGGAATATGCTGCCTCTAGGACTTGAAGAGATCTGTCAAGAGTTGTACTTCCATTTTCATTATGGTAATTGTGAGATACAATAACTTCTCCTTTCCTTTACTTGGGTGGAATGTGCCAGAATTCCCAACCACTGGACACCTAAAAATTTTACTG